CAAATATGGTCACTTCTGGCTCCAAAAAACCAAGATGGTGAAGCTGAGATGCTGAACTCAAAGCTTCAAAACAGAAGTTCACAAACTGCTAGGTGACATCACGGGTGTTACATCCATTATTTTTACAGTCTGTGCGTGGCACACCAGACTGACTCAAACCTTAGTTGTTGTGTGATGGAACCTCGTGTGTTGAGCACCACAGGGACGTTTAACACAGACATGATGTCGGAGCCTGACGTCCCACTGAATGATGTCAGTATGTGTTTTAACACCTCCTCACACACGTCTGATCAGACACAGCAGCTCAGTCAGCGCCTCCTGCTTCAGACTGTGACACGTTACCAACCCCTCAGCGTCAGCTTTACAGGCACATGACGTCTTTTTAAAATTACCTTCACAGAAAACAAATGAATCAGGAACAATAAAACCAGCAGGCTGTGAGTCACCACACTTTGTAAAGTTCTCATATACATAACCTTAAGTAAGTAGATTTTCACACGGGACACAGACCGCCGTCTCCTGGGTCAAAGTCCTGTGTTTGTTCGACACATTCGTCCACCCTGACCTCGTCCCTACACAGACTCTGTCACTCTTCATACTACGTCAGCTGACGTCCACCTCTGATTGGATCATCATTACATCACCACTGCAGCCACGCAGAGCGTCACAGTTTGAAGTTCCAACTGGAGAGGGAAGTTTTTCAGTCTGATTAACCTCCTGCAGAGTCTCAGCTCTCTGGCTCCCCCCTGTGGAGACGTTAGTCTCTGTCCTGCTGAATGTCTCTACAGCCCAGTTCAGACTGAAGATCTGTGATGATGAGTTTTACTAATAAAACCAGACGCCAGCAATTTGACCAGATGACATCATCAGCCGGCTTGAGTCATGCTCAGATCGGCCAGTTCACACCGCTGACACTTTTCTCTGTGACGTTCTGAAACAGTTTCGTCTTGTCATGAATCTTTGGTCTGAACTGGGCTTCACACACCATAATATCCTGTCATGTCACCATGGTTACAGGTTTCATTCCCACCTCCTGTGACGTTGGTCCAGTCTGAATGAAGCTTCTGTCTCTGTTAACCCTTTACAGTCATGGACTTCATCTGAAAGATTAAAGGGCAGAAATATAATAACTCTGTTTCCTTTAATAAGCTGAAAATCAGAACTGATGTGGTCTTGTTACCTTAGAATGAGATGTTTATATTTACACAGGGAGCAGGTCCTCGTGTTGTACTGCCATGTTTCTACGGTAGCCCAGAGTGGACAAACCCAACACTGACTCTAGACAGAGACATTCAGGTAGTTCTCAGTGGAGAGGTGTCAGCGCCAGATTAACAGCTTTGATGTCGTTACTGTGTCTCAGCTGTGCAGAGGACGACAAAGTCCTTCAGTAATACACCAAAGTAAATACTCTGTTACTCTATTAACAGTACCAAAGTATCAACGTCATAATACACTTAAAGTACCAACAGTAAGAGTATCATTCTGCAGAATAATATATGTGACTGTGTTATAATACTGTAAAACTTCTATTAATAGTCCAGCTGTTATTTACTTAAATCACTGAACTCCACAGACCTGTATATTTGGGACGGGTGTATGGATTAATGTGTCGATCGGTTTGATGTGGATCAGCTGGTGAAGGTGGGTTAATGACTTTAAATCCTGCTGCGTCGTTTCATCATCTTTTATTATTGATTCTGTTTTCTATCAATAATCTGAATCTGTAATCATCACATTCTCATTCCAGCCTCATCACATGTCCACATTTGGTCATGGACGTTCCACGTCCACGTATGACGTGTGTTACGAGTTACATGCTTTGTCTGTTTTCAAAGTACACTTCTGTTTTGTCAGGAAATGTATAGTTTGCATACAGTCTCTTTCAAACTAAAAGCACTGTGTCAGTGTTATTCAAAAGGAATAAATGAAATGAGTACAACACCACCAACTGATGTTTTTTCTTTCAACAACACACGAGTGGTTACGTTTAGCCGACACACACACGTGGTTACGTTTAGCCAACACACACAAGTGGTTACGTTTAGCCAACACACACAAGTGGTTACGTTTAGCCGACACACACACGTGGTTACGTTTAGCCGACACACACAAGTGGTTACGTTTAGCCGACACACACAAGTGGTTACGTTTAGCCGACACACACACGTGATTACGTTTAGCCGACACACACACGTGGTTACGTTTAGCCAACACACACACGTGGTTACGTTTAGCCAACACACACACACACACGGTTACGTTTAGCCGACTCACACACATGGTTACGTTTAGCCAAGACACACACGTGGTTACGTTTAGCCGACACACACAGGTGGTTACGTTTAGCCAACACACACACGTGATTACGTTTAGCCGACACACACACGTGGTTACGTTTAGCCAACACACACACGTGGTTACGTTTAGCCAACACACACACACACGGTTACGTTTAGCCAACTCACACACATGGTTACGTTTAGCCAAGACACACACGTGGTTACATTTAGCCAACACACACACGTGGTTACATTTAGCCAACACACACACGTGGTTACATTTAGCGAACGCACACACGTGGTTATGTTTAGTCGACACACACACACATAGTTGGGTTTAGGAAATAATAATATTAATAATAATAAACTGACCGGCTGTGTGCCAATGCCAATATGAAACAAAGGCTTTTCTTGTTGGTGTCTGACACCAGAAGTCTCTGACCAAGCGCTGGTATTCGACGACTTCGGAGTGAGACTGTGTTGTAAAGTAACTAAGGCTGTCAGATAAATGCAGAGCAGTAAAAAGTTCATCATCTCCCAGAGAGATGTGGTGGAGGAGAAAGGTGATGTTATGATGTAATGATGATACGTACAATCGGGTCACATGATGCTCATCTCCTCAGGTCGAACAAACACCTCTCAGCTGATATCACGTTGGCCTGCTGACGATGATTCCACCTGTAAACTTTTCTCCTCAGAGCTGAGGAACATTTTACAACTTGTTTTTCTTCTGATGATTCAGTCACACTTTACAAAAATAACGTTCTTAACACAGAAAAGAAAAACAAAAAGAGAAAACGCAGAAAGAAAACACTAAAGAAAGAATTATTAAAAAAGTTCTGACTGCTGAGTTTTTCTGATATTTTTGATGTTGTATGTTATAATAATATTTCACTAACACTTCACTAACACTAAAATCATTTTCTGATCAGATGTATTTTTTGTACTGACTCTTGGAAGGGTATTGAACTTGTATTTTGTTGAATATGTTGTGAATTAATTTTGGATACGTTTATTTTTTAAGGTATTTGTTGGAAATTTTACTTTATAGATAACTAACTGAAACTTATCAAATTTTTAGAACTGTTTGGTCACACAGCTGATTCAACGGTTAACACTGTCGCCTCACAGAAGGAGGGTTCCCGGTTTGAGCCCTTGTGTGGCGTCAGCATGTTCTCTCTGTGTCAGCGTGGGTTTCCTCCAGGTGCTCTGACATGTTCTCCCTGTGTCAGCGTGGGTTTCCTCCAGGTGCTCTGACATGTTCTCCCCGTGTCAGCGTGGGTTTCCTCCAGGTGCTCTGACATGTTCTCNAAACAGTGATTTAACATCACCGAATATGGGGCTGCTGGTCTACTGCTGCTTCAATCAGTGAGTTAGTTTGTATTGTTGTGTGACTTTGGTGAATCCAAACTAACTCTTTTAAATGCCAAAGTCACACAATAACACAAATAAACTAACTGATTGGGGCAGCAGTAGACCAGCAGCTCCTTTGTTCAGCAATGTTAAATCACTGTTTTTCTCAGTGGAGTCTGGCTTTGAAAAGAGCAATCTAACGGCTTAATTTTCCAGTTGGAAATCACTGTGTGACATTAAGGTAAGGCAGTGAAAATATTCTAAATATAGCATACATTTAAACTGACTTTGATTTTGTTTAGGTGGCTAAAATACGTATTGTTGCTGACCTTTCTACAGCAGTCGATTGCTTAGCGTCCATGTCAGACTCTGAGCTGATTCTCCAAACTGGTGGCCAGTGGCGTAATGTCGTTACGATGGGTCCTGGTGTATGCTAACGGCGCATATCATCATGTCACATGGTCAAACAGAGACAAGATACTGGACCACATCAACATACATTTTAAAGCAATTATCATTTCATATCGATATATGACAAAATACCAAAGAAAATAAGAATTAATGATCATTCAATTTAATTATTTTAATAGTTTATTTTTAGGGTGGCACGGTGGTGTGGTGGTTAGCACAGAGGGTTCCTGGTTCGATCCCAGGAGGCAGCCCCTCTGTGTGGAGTCTGCATGCTCTCCCTGTGTCAGCGTGGATTTCCTCCAGGTGCTCCAGCTTCCTCCCACAGTCCAAAGACATGCAGGTTAATTGGTGACTCTAAATTGTCCGTAGGTGTGAATGTGAGTGTGAATAGTGTGTCTGTCTCTATGTGTCAGCCCTGTGAACCTGTCCAGGGTGAACCCACCTCTCACCCAATGTCAGCTGAGATAAGCTCCACCCCCCCACCCCCCATGACCACCAACAGGATAAGTGGTTTCTGAAAATGAATACTGACCAGATATTTTACGTAAGAACATGGCTTACTACTGAAACATTCAAATGTTACAACTGGCATCAATATTATTAAATTGCTGGCAGAGTGTGTTTAATGCGAATGCATGTTGCTATGGCGTCCCTAGCAACGGAGCAGCAGAGCAGCGGTTATACCTCAAAAAATAAACACTGCAGAATTTTGTTGATTGACCAGTCCGAATCAAGTATTTAAGAGTGCCATGTTCTAAATATAATTTATATATATTACTAATTTTCACTGTATATGTTGCTCATATGTTTTTTTTTATGCTGACACATTTTCGCAGTTTTTTAAATAATATCTTTTGGATAATTTATAATTTTTTTTGTCAGATATTTGACTGATCTTTAACCAACTCAGATGAGGAGAAGACAGGACTGAAGGAGACGTGGGGACGGATCAGGAGGTGATGAGTTAGTCTTTAATCTTTAGAAGACATGATTGTTTGCAGAGGTAGATTTTATTCCCTTTAATACACATCAGAGTTTTACTGAATGACTGAGATCTGTGAAGTGACTCTCAGATCAGGCAGCTGATTGGTTACTGCTGATAACGCTAAAAACACACAACACACAACATTGAAACGTGAAAATTAAAAAACAGAAACCAAATAATAAAATGGAAATAAGTCATCAGGTCAAACAGGCAGAATCCTGACACACACAAATATGATTTAACATTTTCATCAGCTGTTCTCCAACAGTAGCTTTCATTCTGCTGGATGTGACAGTGATGTCACGTTTCTGCTTCATGTATTTTACAAGACGTTCTTCAAAGTTCTCAACAAAGAGTCTGAACCAGATCAACACCATCCTGCAGACTGTGAGTCTCTGATGTTGTTCATAAAACCAGAGTGAACATCAAACAGTAAACATAGGATGTCACATACAGAATAAAACATGCAGACTCCTTGCTGCTCTGCAGTAATAAACTATGTCACCACTTTGATGTCTTCGTTTGTCTCTTTGTGGTCATTTGCCGTCTCTTTGTAGTTTGTGTCCTGAGCTGTGAGCTGAGCTGATTGGACGGTGCAGAGTCACCTCAGTCCTTCAGGATCAACAGTCGGAGTCTCTGGACCTGGTCCTGGATCGTGTCCGTCCCCCCGTCCCGCTGAACGCTGACACCAGATCTTTGACGCTGCCGGCTGAGCGAGGCATCTCATCGCCGTCCTTCTTCTTCATCCTCGTCTTCCTCGGGTTGGTGTTCAGACTCTTGGAGCGTAGTGTCGGATACATCCTTTCCTCCCCCAACAGCAGCTCCTCCTCGTCTCTGTTACCATGGTTACTGTCTGTTGTCTCACCCTCCAGTTCCCCATGAGACAGCACAGATACTCTTTCCTCTACTTCCTGTTTGGTTTCTTCACCTCCACCCTTCTCCAGCGTCACTGTGGAAGATCTGGACGCCTGCTGGGTCGCACTGGTCGGCCCCTCCTGGTGGTGATGGGCGGGGCTGTAGATGATGCTGCTGATGGACTTCCTGTTGGGAGAGGGGGAGTTGCTGAGGGTCGGAGAGGGTAAATACTGAGTGACCTTTGACCTGTCCAGAGGGAAGGACTGAGCCGCCTCCAGTCGGGTTTTCTCTGCTGGTTTCTCCATGTCAGCGTCAGTGGCGTCAGCCTGAGGTGAAGCAGCACGGGTGTGGGCGGGTCCACGGTCGGTGTCGCAGGGGGAGATCAGGATGTCGACGTTGGACAGAGACTGAGTCCTCTCTCTCATTCCTCTCACCTCCAGGGTCGACCCGAACTCCTTCACCTCACCTGTAAACAGGAAGCATGACTTCATCAGCTCACATCATCATCATTTACCTGCAGGTATCTTCAGTCTGTTAGAGGATCAAACCTCAGACCTGACAGCCGGCTGCTACACCAGCGCCCCCCTGAGGCTGAAATCTTCATCACACACACCAGAAAACTGATCAGAATATGATTCATCATCACAGCGACTCTTCATTGTGTTTTTATCACATTTCTCTCAAATATGACATTTTTAAATTCGACTTAATGTGCTGGTCGTAGGGCGAGTCTGAGAAACTCAAGTTTACTTCTGTGAGTCTGTTTCACCCCAGCATCACTTTGCCTAACATCATAAACACGATGTCACCTTCATGAACCAACTGTCAGAGTCTAAACAGAACATCTGTTCCAGTTGTGACCCGATCAGGTGACTCTCTGTTCTTTGATCCCAGAGCTGAACATTTCTGTTGCTCACTGTTGTTCTGCATCAGATGTGACTGATGTCAAATATTCTGAACATTATCAGAGGATAACAAAGATGAGATCAATTCATGACCCGAGGCAGAGGGCTTGTGTCTGACAGTCTGTAAACTACGAACAAGTTAACTGTGTGTTGGTTCTTTTGTTTCTCTGTCTGTGCAGCTGATTGTTCATGTTTGAATGTTAATAAATCATGTCAGGTCATGTTTGTCTTGTAAAGGCTCAACATCAGATACGTGTACAGACAGGACGGAGGTTCGGTCCGCACTCTGTGTTCATTTCATCTGTATTTGTGCATGTTGTCTGAAAGCTTACAGATGTGGATCAAACAGACCAGAGTTGCTGGACATGGTGGAGGCAGCGTAGCGTAGTTCAAGCAAGATACGACTGTAGGACGCGACAGAGACATTTCAATATGGCAGAACGAAATAAATTGATAACAGAATGAAAAACGTCCACATGTTGAGATGTATTCAATAGCCACACAATCTGTCGCTGTCTACAACACTGCCTCACATTAAAGGTAAAATATTACGACATCCTCCACCGTCACCTTGTTTGTAGTTGTGTAAAACTTTTGACACATGACTCATCTGTTTCAAACAGTGTAAACCACACAGTCCTCATACCTCCATGTGTCCTTTATGTTAGCGTAGATACAGCCAATAGATGGCACTAGAGGGCGGAGTCAGAAGTTTCATACAACAACAAAATTCTTTCACTCTATTACTGATCCGTGACGTTCTGACATTTAATAAATGTCTTGGTCGTCTCCTACAGACGTGTCTCACTTGAACTGTGCTTCACTTCATCGATCTCCGTTGGCTCTGCTTCAGTTTGTCTGTAAGTTTTCAGAAAACGTGCACAGATATGGACAAACTGAACGCAGACTACAGACCGAAGGCTTTGTCCGTCTCTATCTGATGCTGAGCATGAACGAGCCTTAATGTGTCATGAGTCTGGTCGTGCCTGTTGTGTTTCCTCCCTTGGTGTTTCCTCCTCGTCTCTCTGGACTCTGCTGGACCCTCCCGTCGTTTCCCTCCATGTCTCCGGACACAGAGATCCTGTCCTCATGCTCCAGCTGGTAACGGTACAGACTGTAACCATCGGCGCTGTTGACACTACTGTGTCGCAACAGGGCAGCCGGCTCACAGACCGACGATCCTCTGGAGTGAGAACGGACGAGCTCGGCCCGGTCAACGCCCGCCAGCTTCTCCAAAGCGTTCATCATGCGACCAGACAACTCCTCCATCTGAGCCAGGCGGAGGTCCACTGTCTGCAGGGACGCCTTCATGGAGTGCTCCCTCTCATTCACCTCCTCCAGACGCATGAACATGTTCTCCACCCTGACGACACACAGCAGAACATGATCCAATGTTTGGTTTGTCTCACTGCTCTGAAACTAACTTCATCATCACTGAACTCTATCTGCTCTTTAATGTGAATAATCTTTGTTATTCATTGTCTCAAAAAATCTGCCCCCTGCAGGCAGAGAGAAGGAACTGCAGAGACAAAACAGGCTTCAAAATTCTCATCTGCTTACCAAAGTCAATAAAGAGAAATATAAACTAACACAATCTTGTCAATCATACTTATTTCTATTATTATTGACGACATACTATACTATGACTTTTTTCACGATTATGATGACATACTATACTATTACTTTTTTCACGATTATGACGACATACTATACTATGACTTTTTTCACGATTTTTGACGACATGCTATACTATGACTTTTTTTCATGATTTTTGACAACATACTATACTATGACTTTTTTTCATGATTTTTGACGACATACTATACTATGACTTTTTTTCATGATTTTTGACGACATGCTATACTATGACTTTTTCCATTATTTTTGACGACATGCTATACTATGACTTTTTTGCATAATTTTTGACGACATACTATACTATGACTTTTTTCATGATTTTTGATGACATACTATACTATGACTGTTTTCATGATTTTTGACGACATACTATACTATGACTTTTTTTCATGATTTTGGACGACATACTATACTATGACTTTTTTTCATGATTTTTGACGACATGCTATACTTTGACTTTTTTCATGATTTTTGACGACATACTATACTTTGACTTTTTTCATGATTTTTGACGACATGCTATACTATGACTTTTTCATGATTTTTGACGACATGCTATACTATGACTTTTTCCATTATTTTTGACGACATGCTATACTATGACTTTTTTGCATAATTTTTGACGACATACTATACTATGACTTTTTTCATGATTTTTGATGACATACTATACTATGACTGTTTTCATGATTTTTGACGACATACTATACTATGACTTTTTTTCATGATTTTGGACGACATACTATACTATGACTTTTTTTCATGATTTTTGACGACATGCTATACTTTGACTTTTTTCATGATTTTTGACGACATACTATACTTTGACTTTTTTCATGATTTTTGACGACATGCTATACTATGACTTTTTCATGATTTTTGACGACATGCTATACTATGACTTTTTCCATTATTTTTGACGACATGCTATACTATGACTTTTTTGCATAATTTTTGACGACATACTATACTATGACTTTTTTCATGATTTTTGATGACATACTATACTATGACTGTTTTCATGATTTTTGACGACATACTATACTATGACTTTTTTTCATGATTTTGGACGACATACTATACTATGACTTTTTTTCATGATTTTTGACGACATGCTATACTTTGACTTTTTTCATGATTTTTGACGACATACTATACTTTGACTTTTTTCATGATTTTTGACGACATGCTATACTATGACTTTTTCATGATTTTTGACGACATGCTATACTATGACTTTTTCCATTATTTTTGACGACATGCTATACTATGACTTTTTTGCATAATTTTTGACGACATACTATACTATGACTTTTTTCATGATTTTTGATGACATACTATACTATGACTGTTTTCATGATTTTTGACGACATACTATACTATGACTTTTTTTCATGATTTTGGACGACATACTATACTATGACTTTTTTTCATGATTTTTGACGACATGCTATACTTTGACTTTTTTCATGATTTTTGACGACATACTATACTTTGACTTTTTTCATGATTTTTGACGACATGCTATACTATGACTTTTTCATGATTTTTGACGACATGCTATACTATGACTTTTTCCATTATTTTTGACGACATGCTATACTATGACTTTTTTGCATAATTTTTGACGACATACTATACTATGACTTTTTTCATGATTTTTGATGACATACTATACTATGACTGTTTTCATGATTTTTGACGACATACTATACTATGACTTTTTTTCATGATTTTGGACGACATACTATACTATGACTTTTTTTCATGATTTTTGACGACATGCTATACTTTGACTTTTTTCATGATTTTTGACGACATACTATACTTTGACTTTTTTCATGATTTTTGACGACATGCTATACTATGACTTTTTCATGATTTTTGACGACATGCTATACTATGACTTTTTCCATTATTTTTGACGACATGCTATACTATGACTTTTTTGCATAATTTTTGACGACATACTATACTATGACTTTTTTCATGATTTTTGATGACATACTATACTATGACTGTTTTCATGATTTTTGACGACATACTATACTATGACTTTTTTTCATGATTTTGGACGACATGCTATACTATGACTTTTTTTCATGATTTTTGACGACATGCTATACTTTGACTTTTTTCATGATTTTTGACGACATACTATACTATGACTGTTTTCATGATTTTTGACGACATACTATACTATGACTGTTTTCATGATTTTTGACGACATACTATACTATAACTTTTTTTCATGATTTTGGACAACATGCTATACTATGACTTTTTTCATGATTTTTGACGACATACTATATTATGACTTTTTTTCATGATTTTTGACGACATACTATACTATGACTTTTTTTCATGATTTTTGATGACATACTATACTTTGACTTTTTTCATGATTTTTGATGACATACTATACTTTGACTTTTTTTCATGATTTTTGACGACATGCTATACTATGACATTTTTTCATAATTTTTGACGACATGCTACACTATGACTTTTTTTCATGATTTTTGACGACATACTATACTTTGACTTTTTTCATGATTTTTGACGACATGCTATACTATGACTTTTTTCATGATTTTTGACGACATGCTATACTATGACTTTTTTCATTATTTTTGACGACATGCTATACTATGACTTTTTTTCATTTTTTTTGACGACATACTATTCTATGACTTTTTTCATTATTTTTGACGACATTCTATACTATGTTTTTTCATTATTTTTGACGACATACTATACTATGACTTTTTCCATTATTTTTGACGACATACTATACTATGATGTTTTTTCATTATTTTGGACGACATGCTATACTATGACTTTTTCCATTATTTTGGACAACATGCTATACTATGACTTTTTTGCATAATTTTTGACGACATTCTATACTATGTTTTTTCATGATTTTTGACATGTTATACTATGACTTTTTCCATTATTTTTGACGACATACTATACTATGACGTTTTTTCATTATTTTTGACGACATTCTATACTATGTTTTTTCATTATTTTTGACGACATGTTATACTATGATTTTTTCCATTATTTTTGACGACATACTATACTATTACTTTTTCCATTATTTTTGACGACATACT